GGCGTCTTTCAATGCGGTGGCCAATATCACTATACCATGGAGACTCAATCCTGCGTGAGCGTTCCTGTGGAGGATGGAATGAACGTCTATCCATCGTCGCAATGGATGGATCAAATTCAAGTATCGATCGCAAATTGTCTCAATGTTAAGAATAATAGGTAATTAATTACGCATTAATCTATCAATATCGAAGTTAATATCTCAACTATGTCAAAATAATTATATATTACTTTTTCTCATACGTGTTCATCTTCTCATCGCAAAATACTAAGCTTTTGCAATCTATACATTCCGTGTTTATATATATATATATATATATACATATAGTTACATACTATCAATATTGATATACAAGACAAAATTATTAAAATAAAAAAAAATCACTTAAGTAAAAATTAGAATTAATTAGACGTATCTAATATAAAATAGGAATTAAAAAGAATATTCTTATTTTTTCAACAAAAAAAATTAAATCACGTTGGAAAAAGTACTATTTGTAAAGCAAAATTGACAATCCCGTGAATTAAACTTTTCTAGCATCAATGTGTTTGTCAGACGACTTGGCGGTGGATACGGAGCGAAAATGATACGCAACGTGCAAATCTCATGTGCTTGCGCGCTGGTATGTCACAAACTGAATCGTCCAGCGCGATTCGTTATGACGATAGAGGACAATATGCAGTCTATAGGGAAAAGATATTTTACGCGCCAAGAATATGAAATCGGAGCGGATAATGACGGAGTTATCCAGTATCTCAACTCGAAACATTGGGACAACTGCGGTTTCAGTTTCAACGAGCAACAATCTGTGGTTTCGTGCATGCAAGAGTATGCATTCTGTATAAAAATATATAAGCAATCTCTAATAACAATATATAATATTAATACTTCTGTCTAATATTAATACCTGTCTATCGGATTCTGCATAATATTTTAAAATTGAATAAATTTTTTAAGGAAAAGGCATTAAAATAAAGTATACTTTTTATCCAATTTTGTTCAAAATTAAATTCAACAAACA